CCAACATTACTTCCGTGGCGATGACGTTATATATGTCGAGTTTTTAGAATTACACCAACTATGTCACCTGGACTCTCTCGACAAAAGTCTCATTAGCTGCTATTATCTGTAAGTGTGATTATTTTCTACTATTAAAGTGTATATATATAAAGCTACATGTATATATATAAATTATATATCCTCACACTATATTTTTATATATGCAGATATGAGATGACAGAACTCAGAAAGAGAAAGGATAATGATGTTGGTTTCGTTGATCCAAATGTCGTATTCAAACACCCTGATCCCCCGCCTCAACAGAAAGCTGAACTCAAGAAAAATCTCATGAGGTTCTTAGTGAACCAACAAAACAAGGACATACTCTTCCCCTACAACTTCAAGTAAGTGTTAAATAATTAATGTCAATCATATGGACATTTGTTCAATTATTTGCTTACTAGCTAAGCTATCTCCCATATATATATGTTGACTCTAGTTAATATCGATCATATTTGTGTATAAAAATATATATAGCAATCACTGTATATTGATGGTCATCGATATAGCCAATAGTCGATTGAGCATCTTAGACTCATTAAGAAAAGAGCAAACAGAGTACCAAGACATGATAGATATTATCCAAGGGTAATTTGGTCTCTCTAGCAACTATATATACCCCGATCTCTTAACTGCAACAATTATTAAAGGCCAAATTAATTTTTTATTTTATTGGGCGCAGTGTTTGGAAAAGTTTCATTGAGGAACACCACATGAAACATTGCAAAGAGCCACTGGATATAATCGCACACAAATTAAGTACTAGCTACATTTATATATATATAATTCAATGAACACCATGCATGCTTTCAATTCACCGGATCTTTTTTCTCGTAAAAGTGGGTTCTGAGGCAAGAACAGGGGAACAACTACTGTGGATACTATGTTTGCGAGTTCATCATGGCGTACTCAAAAAGAACTCCTGAAGAGAACCTCAAAGTACGTTATATAAATATATTCATATATTCATAATTTCTTTTATTGCTCATATATATAAGTAATCATGTGACCAACACATATATATATATATATTAATACTTTTCCTTTAACTTTTATTGAAGACTCTATGGTTGAAGGAAAAAGTCATACGACGTGACCAACTGAAAGAAATTCAAGAGACCATAGCAGGATTTCTTAATGACCAGGTCATAAACCCCGCCGGCGAGTTCTACAATAACGTGAACGAAACATGGAAGCCAAACCAGATGGAGTGAATTTGTTATCCCAAGGATATGATAGAATATACAATGCAAGCTTTATTTGTAATATATATATACATATTATATGTACATAAAATAACATACAATATATATATATATATATATGCATGTAATATATACGTTAGTTTCATACTTTAGTTTGTACAAGATATTCGAACATTATAAACGTGTAGAATACATATATTATTAGCAGCGTAGAATGCGTATTCGAAAACCTATTCGAAAACCAAAACCAATCATCAATTGAAAATAGAAAGAAAAAAAAAGAAAACCTTTAGTCCGGTTGGTAATACCAACCGAGACTAAAGGGTCGGCCCACGTGGCCAAGCCGGGAGGCATCTTTAGCCCCGGTTGGTATAACCAACCGGGACTAAAGGTGGCGCGAAACCGGGACTAAAGGAGGGGCCCTTTAGTCCCGGATTCGTGCTCCCGGTTCCAAAACCGGGACTGAAGGGGGTTGAGAACCAGGAGTATAGCTAGTTTCTTTACTAGTGTAGTGTCCTCTCTTGATTCTCTTGATTCGATATTTTCTTGCCATATGTGTTTAAGTCACCATCTCATTTGCTATTGTTTCATATGTGAAGTGGTTGCATGCATGTTTGGAAATGATAATGGCATGCCAGGTATATATGTGCTCTTCCATATATTACATTGATGTTGAGATGATAGGGTTTGGTATTCTAGTGACGTAGTTTGGACAACCTATTGTTTAATGGATTCAAAGTTAGTTGTTGTTTTTGTTTATGCATATAATAAGGCGGTCAGTGATATATGTCTGTGAGAAGCTAGTTTAGTAATTTGATTATTCCGCTGCCCTCTGTTATCGCATCTTGCCATCGGTACGGTGACACGGTGCTTGTTCGATCACATACATGCATATGCAGTGCTGCCACCAATGACGACCCCTCTGCGAATAATCACGTTCACGCGTACGTTTACCGAGACATGATGTTGTCCTAACTTGTAAGAAGCAGAGAGGAACTGCAGGAGCATGCAAACGCTTGTCAAGGCTTAGCGATTCACTTTCCTGTACCCAACGCAACTCGATGCCAGTAGACACACATGCACAGTCTTGGTCATGTTGACTGAGCTAAGCTTAATAACCAGCCCCGGATCGGAGAGCGTGACAGTATGCTCGCTGTTTAGAACCTTCGTTTAGGACGTACTACTACGCTTGGTCTTGGAATGAAGCAACAAAGTGATGTACTCGGATACATAGACGGATTCTAGTAGCGATGTGCGGAAGCCTTCTAGTTCTAGATATATAGGAGTACGGAGTATGTATCTCTATCAGTGCAGTTATTATTAGCTCTAACGCCAGGTTAATTAATTTCCACTCGATCGAAGAGGAGGGGACCAAGTCCACATGTCGAACTACTAGTAGCTCTATAGATAAAGTTGAAACTGTTCGAGTGTTCGTTATTTACTTCTGACTGTACAATTTGTGGTACAAGAAAAGGTTGCTACACGGTTTGGAAAACCAAATCTCCTCAGTTTGCTTAGTGAATTGCACTAGTGTAATGATTTCAAATCTATGATTTATTGGTTGATGATGACCTCACATGTCCTTACCCACTGCGATTGAGAGAGAACTGCCCAGCCAGTCCATACATTTGAACGATTCAACTGTCGTCGTCAACACGATCGAAGCGCAAGCGCCACACATGTATCTATCAGGCCAGAGATACAACTTAATTTAGATTATTCCTCGTGCTATATTCCAGCCGAGAGACCGACACGCTGAAGGAGTTTGGGTTTGTGTACTTTGTACCCTTTTGCTACTACGAAAAGTAGTTGTAGAGACCGTTGGAAAGCGTGTATAGCTCAACCGCGGATACCTGTGCGTCTTTACAAATCGACAATTTATAAAGGCGGTTTTCTAGCCACACCTAAAAATTAATTTTTATAGTAGGTTCTAGATCTAGCTGGACTATAAATAACTCTTTTCTAAAAATCACAAGTCAGGAAAAAATAGTAATTTTTTGAAATTCTAGGTTACTCATGTGTTGTAGAAATTGATTTGTTAGGGCGGCTCTAGGTCCAACCACCTTTAGAAATCTGTTTCCACAAATCACAAATTGGACATGTGAAATCCTGCCACTTCTTCCATCACATAAAAACAGTACTTGATTTCTTTGAGTTTTTACCGATTAATGAACTTGCTTGCTATGTGTTAAAATGAACCCCTCAATTCAATTTTTTGTTCAAATTTAAATTCATTTGTTGTAAAGTTCGCTTCTTTTTTTTCTTCTAAAAGGATCATATTTTTTGTTTGCAGATTTTGTTGTGGAAAGATCGAAAACGCCGTGAAAAAGAACCAATAAAACCACCGGTCTGCACTGAAGTCTGAAGCCCTAAGGGCAGTCTCAATGGTGTATTGATGATGGTTTCTATTCTCATTAAATGACTTACCACGTAGGCAAAACGCTGACATGGCAACGTAATTAATGAAGAAAGAGAGCAAAAATCCTAGAAATGGTTTCCTCATGAAGAAATCAGATCTTCTCTTGACCCAATGCACCAAGAAACCATGAAATCGCCATTGGGGAGAAACCACCAGTTTCTAAAGGGCTCGTACCACACTCCCATTGGAGGAAGAAGATAGAGTTGGAAGAGGGAAAGAGAAAATGATTATTACTCATAGAAACCATGGGTTGGAAAGCAGTACTTTTTTGGTGCGGTATCCTATGTTATAGAAACTACTAGTTTCTTTTATTGGGACTGGCTGACCATGTAACACCGTACGTGTTGGCCACTGAGCCAATGATCCGTCAATGTATGTCTCGGATGGTTCCTGAAAAAGCAGTCTTAAAAGCAGTCTTAAAATATTTCAGGGGTAGTGTGTTGGGTAGGAAATTACTCAAGCATCAAAATTTAAACACCATACCAAGTTGTATTCATTTCATAATCATACTGTACATGTCATCAGAGGGGGTATTTATAGGATCCTAGTCTTCATACTTTACATATAATAACTATTTTACCCCCAATTTAAATGGTTACAACCCTTTTTAACTACAAGGACGAAGTAGTCTTTTTCCACTCTTGAGCCTTCATTCTTCAACTTTTGTACATCAACTTCACCGATGTCTTCCAGACTTAGTCGATTTCTGCTTTGATTTTCTTTTCTCTCAGAATGTTAGGCGAAGTCAAACTCTTGTCTTCGCCTAATTCTTGCTTTCTTCTTTTCACCAGCGAAGACGAAATCTTTCTTACGAAGTCAAATTTCCACCTTCGCTTCAGTACTTCTTCCTACAAGTAAATTTTGTTATAGAAATCATAATTTCAACTTCAAAGTTTCAGGGGCTGAGTTTTCTTGGCGAAGTTAAATCTCCAACAGCAGCCGTTAGACAAAAAAACGCCGTCCCGAACTTTGGAGTTGGCCGTTTCTAGCCGTTAGACTGTGAATAGTTGGTTTTTTGAATTGCAACGGTCGTATTTGACCGTCGAAAGCTGAACTGTCAGGTTTGACCCGAAGCCGCCTATATATACTTCGGTCTGTTCCCCCTGTTTTTGCTTGCTACTTTATCGAAGATGGGGAGGTGCTGTTGAAATTTTCTTTGAAGCGAAGCCAAAAAAATTTGCGGAGTCAAAACTCTTTTCCGAAGACTATTTCTTATCAAGGTTAAAAGTTTTGTTGACTTAAGGTTAGTTTTAAATTCGTTTGTTTCTGCTTTTCTCTTTCTTTTGTTGTTGTTGTTATTATTATTTATCTTGATGAAAAAGTTTCTTATTTTCTAGATGTCTGATCAAGAGAAGAATGCTTCTGCAAACTCTCCAGTTGGATCTAATCAGTCTAACTTTGATAAAGATTTATCAGATGTTTCTGCGTCTGAGTCCGAGTTGGGTGGTGATGATACAAAGTCTTTGAAGTTTGGACAAACTTTGATGGATGATAAAGAGTTAGATTGGATGGTGACTAATGGGATGGTGGAGAGGGCATCTGTTCGTTTGCCTGTAAATGAAGTAATTTCTGATCCAAAACCTTATGAATGTGTGGTTTTTTGGGATCAATTTGCAGCTGGACTTCGTTTGCCATGTCAAGACTTTCTTGAAGAACTTTTGAAGGCATATAATATAGAAATGCATCATTTGACTCCTAATGAATTAGCGAAGATTGCTCTTTTTATTTGGGCAGTGAAGTGTCAAGATGTAAACATGGACATCAGGGCTGTTTGTGCTCTTCATGAGATGCATACTCAGTTTAGGAATAAGCCTGTGGATGGGAAAACTGTTATTAAATACTTTGGTTGTTGTAGTTTTAAACCTGCTCGAGGTGCTAAACAAATTTCTCCTGCTTCCAAGAATAACTGGGTTGAAAATTGGTACCGGTATTAGTTTTACCATACGGTTCCAATGGTTGAAGAAAAGGATGAGTCAAGGAAGATTGTGAAGCGCTATCCATTGGCTGCGAAGATGGGAAGGAATGTTTTTTATTGCAAGCCTGAATTTCCTGGTACAAAGAATTCAAAGATTTGTGAGAAGGCTTACAAGTTGACTACTAATCTGCAAAGTGCTCGTGATCTTTGCGAAGAATATATTGCAGCTAGAGTTTGGCCTCTTAAGAAGGGTTGGAGTTTCGTTTGTTTTCATAAGAAAGTTGTGTGGGGGAAGGATTATATTTATCCTGACAAAGAAGCTTTTCACCCGAAGAAGTATACAAGAGATGAAGATTTTGTTTCTGCTGTTGAAGTTAAGGCAGTTGAGATTCTGGGCAAATTTTTGAAGAAGGAAAAAAGATTTGATGGACAAAATTCTTGGAAAAGAATATAAGCGTTTGAATAGAATTTTTGAAATTGCCCAAATCAAATATGATGAAAGACCTCCACCAGCTTATACTCGTGCAACGAAGCTTGGCATAGAAAATGTTACTAAGAAGAAGAGAGTTGGTGGTCAACTTGCTAAAAAGATTAGCAAGAAGAAGATTGCTACTCCTTCTGGTTCTGAGAAGCTTGGGGGAAGTGATGAAGATATGGGTCAGGAGACTCTTAGTCAACTGGCTCATGATGAAGAGGTGAGGATGATTAGTTTAGTTTTTAATTCTAGTGGGTTGAATCCACCGACGTTGACTCCGCTTGGTGATTATTTCCAGAATTTGGAGGCCAATGTTCATTCTAATGTTAATTTGGGCAAAGCTACTTTGTCTTTGTCTCAAGTTAATGTTGGCGAAGATACTTTGCCTTCTCCGGTTATTCCTGTTCATTCTCATGTTGTTGCTATTGCTACTGCTGCAACTGCGACTATAGAGTCGCAAGAAGAAGGTGAGGTTGCTACTTTGGCTTCGTAGGAGATTACCGAGCCATCTTCTCAAAGGTTTGTTGCTAAAACTCCACCAGGGACTGCAGGAGATATTGGTGCTACTCTTCACGTTGCCTCTCCTCCCCAAGTTGTGATGCAAGATACCGATTTGGGAGGTGCGCCTATGGAGACTGATGCTCCAAAAGTTAAGGCTCATAAGGGTAAGGGTACTACTACTGTTACCCTTGATTTTGATGATTCTGATGATGATATATTTGACGAAGAGGCTGAGCATGCTCGGGCTACTCGTCTTACTAAGTCTACTATTGATGTGAACATTGGTGAAAAAGTTGCATGTCAACTTGAAAGGGTGTTTCCACAGGTAAGTTTGTTTGTTATTTTGCGTTGTTTGATTTGAATTTTATATTTTTGTTCTTATTTTAGACTTCGTTTGTTTTTGTAGAGGAATTTTTTTCCTGCTCCTTCATCTCAGAAGGAGACAACTATTGATATTGGGAAGATGAAGGATGTGGCTCAGGAGCCTACTACTCCTGTTGAAGCCTTGGAAACAATTCCTGGTGGAGTTGACCCTAAGGCATACAAGAGGTGCATGGAGTACTACCAAGCTTAAGGTGTGAATTTAGATACTTTTCAATTTGTTGGGATTGGCCTGGATAGACTTCGCATTATGCCAAAGAAGTCAGAGTTAAAGCTGTCAAAGTATATTGATGATGCCTTCGCAGTTCCTGACACTGATGCTCAACTTGCTGGGAAATCTTCCCTTGAGTTAGCAAATGCGAGTGTTACCATGATTTACAAGGAGTGTATATTTTTGTCTGATTTCGTATGTTAATTTTGGCTTCACGATTTGATTTTTTATAGCATTGTGTTTTTTAGAGTGCCCTTTTGCAAAGGAGTTTACATAAATCTATTGAAGAAGAAGCGAAAAATGCAACACTTCGTGAAAAAGGTTTGCTTGAAGAGATTAAGTCTTTGAAATCTCAGCTTGCTGCTAAAGTAAAGGAAAGAGTAGAGACAGTTGAAGCTCTCTATGATATGGAGTCAAGGTGTATCTCTGTTGGGGCTAGGCTTGAGACAAAGACTAAAGATTTTGATAATTTGAAGAAAGATTATGATAAGATTGTGAAAGAGAAAAATTACCTTGAGAAGAAGTCTGCTGAGAAGGATCAAAATTTTCATGACAAATGTAATCGCCTATGGAAGCTTTGTAGGAATTGCTATGACAAGTTTGGTGCGAAGCCAGAAGATCCTTGCTAGGAGCTTGGTGAATTTGAACCATTCTTTGCTTGGTTGTGCTGTCAATATGATGATTTGCCAACTGTTATTTAGACTAGTGTTGATTTGAGTTGTGTGTACGCAACTCACGCACTTTTTCATTTGATGAAAGAGGCAAAAGATCCCATGTACGAGCAAATGTTGGATAAGGATTATAAGTTTCCTTCAGTGGAATTGTTGAGTCAAGTTTCTTTTCAGACTCAAATGCTTTGCAAGAAATATTTTAATCAATATTGAAATTTGGGTGGCAGAGAGAATGCTTTTATGAAAGCGAAGAAGAAGATGGAAAAGGCTAAGTTGAAGTTTCTTCTTTTTTGTTTGCTTCTCTTTCTCTTTTATTTTATATTCTAACATTTGATTTCCTTTTTGCAGTAGCTTGAGAAGGAAATTGCTGCTGATGAAAAGGAGCAGAGGGAACAGGACAAGCGTGAGGAACAAAGTGGTAGAGATGATGATGTTGGTGACCATCCATTTTAGTTGTCTTCGTAGTTGTTTTTTTTAGATTTTTAGTTGAGGGGTGAGGTTTTAAAACTTTTGATATTTGTAAGTATTGAACTGGGCAGGATGAAGTTGGCGTTATGCCGTTGTTAATGTGTAAGGATAACTTTGTCGTTGAACCTTCGTTGTGGTTGGAGTATGCAACCATTGAGGCAAACCCTACATTTGATACATTTGTTGAACATAAGTTGACGTAAGCGTTTAGTTATGATGTTTTTTGTTTTTTTTATGTTGTGGTTATTTTGTTGATGATGTATGCTGTTTTAGATTTTGAATCTAAAAATCTTGTTGCTGAAAAGAAGAGGTCTTATTTCCCACATGTTGTTGACTTCAGCAAATTTTCCCAAGTAGTTGTTAATTTTTCACTTTTTCCTTTTTTATCATGATATTTGAATTTGATAAGTCATGCTTTTGATATTCTTATTTTTCCAGTCATCGTGTTCAAGTGCTTCACCAAGCTTTGTTTCTGAAGATTTTCTTGGCTCAGAAGTGGATCGTTGTTGACGGTAGTTAACGTTCATCATAAACCATAGAGATAACTTATATAAATGCATAAAAAGGATCACCAACATAGGTCAAGGGGTTTAAACTAATAAATTCCACAAGTTTTGGTGAATCTGTGTTTACTAAAGGGTTTACTTAGAAAACCATCAAGTAGGGCCTATTCGTCAAAGGAAATCACGTTTATCCGCAACGAAACCGACATGGGAAGACTCTAGAAGACTCCAGAAGGCAAACCACCGAAGTGGAGGGCAGGTGGCTGCCATGTGGGGCCGGTCGGCCCCACCTATAGGCCTCCTAGCCCCTAGGGCCCATTGTCAGCCTCCTTGTCACAATATCGGTTCTCCACCGTCTCATAAGATGCATCTACGCGATTCTTTAAGTCGGTTTGATCCAAGGGCTCACGATGGATGCTTCACCCTACATATACCAGACCCTACCCCATCCCTTAGGCCATCCTTGAAACCCTAATTCATATCTCTCATTCAGAAATCAAGATACACCATGAGGATTAGGTCTAGACTCTCCAATGTAGTAGATTAGTAGCTCGGGAGTGAGGGTCGAGTTTGGCTCATGCTTAAGTTCTGTATCTTGTCTTGGAGGCTCGACGAAGCCTTATATCTTCACTTCTACATCTTGTAAGACTTATTATCAATTCATTATATTCCTATTTACATGGTTATGCTTACTTTGAATATATATCTTGCTTAGTTAAGATTATCATTGCTTTTGTGTGTGGGTTCATAGAGCGCTTAGCTTGCTATAGTTTATCGATTGGGCTAAGTAGCCGAGCCTCGTGTAAGCATGGTGCTTATACAATGCTCTGCCTATGAGTACACCCTATTCTCTGGTTGTGTGGTAGCAGCGGGAGGTGACAGCCCCGTCTATCCTTTGTAGTCCACGCCGAATTGAACAGGTTCTTAAATTATAGGACTTTAGTCATGTCAGTAGAGTTATCTATTGTGGATGCTCTACCGTCTAAGCGGTGTCCCGGTGTGCACAAGAGTAGAGTTAGTCTTAGCTATAGTTGGGTGTATGTATACTTTGACAATATAATAAAAATATCATAGGAATCTAACTCACCCGTTGTTCTCCCGAGTTGACTAGTTTATATTGTCTTAGTGATCTATCCCCTTAGTATCATTATGCTTAATTTCTATCATTACCTTTACTCCTTGCTTTAGCTATGCTGGTATGTTGATTAGTAGATATTCCTTTGTTATCCAATAAATCTTTACTCCATTATTTCTCTGTGGTAAAATATAAATAATGATACCTGGAATACTCCTTGTAAAATGCTACGATGGCATTCTGTGCGATTACGGAATCCTTCATATTCTATTTAAACTTATAAATACCAATAAGAATTTTTGGCACCGTTGTCAGGGAAACAATTGGCATAACGATTTAGATCATTAACATACAACTAACTTTAGTAGGATTACCCCTGTTCTGTTGAATTATGGAATAAGACAGGACAACAGACGTTGTTTCGACCTTTCTGCAAGCTTCCACAAGAAAAGAAGAAACATTGAAGAACCCTAAGGTGCCTGAAACATTCATGATCCACCAATACCGGAACTCTGCCATCTCACAGGTTTGTGTGTGTGTGTGTGTATATATATATATATTCTCTAACCATGAGTAGACTGGAGAAAAAGGTCGATGTCACAAGAATTCAAATCACATCTCAAGTGACGAATATAGACACTACACTACTCACAAATTCCATCATGTAAGGTGAGATAGTCATGCTCATGGACTTTAAACTTGATGAGTAGTTATCTTTTAATTATTGCATCCCATTGCATGTTTACTTGGAATAATCCATGCATCCATTCCGTTTAATTTGAAATTTTCTCATATCAAATCCACAGCATGTTTAATTCCTTTCATATATCTATCCCACTTGCATCTTTATGAAAAAAATATGAGCACATGAAGTCTCAAGATTAGTAAAAAACAAAAATTCCTCACCATGATCATACTCTTTCATCTCCATCTAAGTAAATCTCTAAAAGTGCTTTCATGCTCCCTTTGTCTGCCGTAGTATGCTTTGGTTTGGAAGTACTGGACATACTTCCAAAGGTTTTTTAAATTAAGCGTGGTGCTTAGGTTAAATAGTCTTCCTTAATCAAATTAGACATAGAGTTTAGTTTGGTTATTGAACTAAATGTTGCTTGTGTAGACACTGGATATTTTGTTGGACAAACCCCTGCAGAAAACTCTCAAATTCAATCTGGGTAAGTCAATAGATGAATTCACATCAAAGATGAATCAAGACATGTGATGAACTCCAATAACTTTGCACAAAGAAGACCCAGTTCATACTTCATTGAAGGAAGAACTGTGAGTATCAAAATTCATTCACTTTGTCTTTTGCTGCAAGTTACCTTTGCCTTGAACCATGCTTGAATGCAGTGAACAAATAAAAATTCGTTATCAAACATGATAAACAATCTATGCTAAGGTAATTCAAAAATCACCTTTTCATTAGCATAGATGAGAACCACACAAATTATGGATAACAACCCATATTTCAAATTTGTTGTATTCCCTCGGGTATGTGTCCATTAACATTTTGTACAAAAGAAGCTATGCCTAGTCATGGTTTGGTATGAATCTATGAACTCAAGCCGAACCACCACTTCAACGATGGAACAAAGAAGAAGGAGACGAGTGCCACAAAAAGAATCTACAATAAAAGCACTCACTCATAGGAAGTGGATGAACAAAACAATAGGCCACAAGTAACGTCAAAGGCAACCAAGCATTGAGCCTTTCTAGGACTCAAGCTAGGAGGTTGATGAGAAGCAGGGTGCAACTCACCTCATCTTAGCCAATCTGATGCCAGCTTTCATCACCTTCAGTCACTACATCTTAGCGTACATTCTCGTGCCAACAGACATCAGTAATCAATGGAGGTCTATCGATAGTGTCTCATGAAATCATGGGCACAAGAAGACATCCCTAAGCCATTAGAGATCAAGCTTTCAAGCAAATACCAATGAGGTTCCTTCTTTGACCATCAAGACGGCCAGTGTATCATTAACAAACAAAGAAGAACAACTCTCTACCATGTCGTTAGACAATCAAGGAGGAACTTGAGTTGCATCTCCAATGAACCCCAATTCATCAACCAAGAATCAACAAAAATCAAGAAAGGTTGATGGAAGAAGAGCATGCAATTGTCTGTATCCTCATCTCTAGGATCGAGGCTTAATACAAGGAAAGGTCCTGCTTAACGGACTATGAGCTCTCGTCAATAGGTAAATCGGATAAGCCTCCTTCAGGTATGTTTGTCATTAACCATTTCAATAAAAAGAAGGAAAACACAATATCCAACCAAGCATTATGCAACATAAAATCACATTCACAGGAGAATTCTACCATCCAAACTTGATTCTGCATTCCGCAAAATTCAAGTATGGGGGATGGAATTCTTCAAAACATCTCATGTCATGTTGCTAGTTTGTCTTGGTCATCCCTACCTTTATGATGAGCTCAACTTACTAAATCTCTAACAAGTAAAAATTTAAATAATCACGCTCCTTTGGGTCACCATACATATTCTTGTTTCTACTTTAATGAATCTCTTTAGTCTTTCAAGCTTCCTTGTTATGTTATAAGTATGCTTTGCAATATTATTCGAACATGATTATTGAATCAAAACATACTTGTAAAGAGTTTGATTGTATATATAGACTAACCCTTGCAGAAAAATATTCAATTTTTTTTGGGAATGTTAGGTGATCATTTGTAGAAACAAATCAAGGTTTGAGGTATTCTTCAAAATGATTTTACACATCTTTGCCTTAACCATGTTGAAAGTTTGAAGTAGTGGTGAATGTTAGTATTTATAAGTGCAAATAGAAAATGAAGGATTCCGCAAGCGCACAGAATACCATTGTAGTATTTTACTGGGAGTATTCCAGGTATCGTTATTTATATTTTACCACAGGGAAACAATGGAGTAAAGACTT